ATAAGCTACAAGGATGCAGCTACGAGCCACCTGAAAGGAGCTATAATAGACAAGGATAAACCGTACGGTAAGATAACTACCGAGAGAGAAATCCTTTTCAAAAAGACACTAATGGAAGAGCTGGACAAAACAATCTTGTCCGCACCTGCAGCAAAACCAAGCCACCCACATTCAGGTCTTGGTCCCACTCTGGGAAGGAGCAACACTCGCAGTTGTAAGGATGGACGAGCTCCCCATGCTCTCCAAAGCCTCTCTCTGGATCCCAGGGGAAGCGCAAGCTGACCCTGACGAGAAAGAGGTTGTGCTCAGGCGACTTTAGGGGCAAAACCCAAACTTGCATGTGGCGAAATGGTGCACCTTCCACCATGAAATCAAAAAAGACCCTAAGGGCCATCTCTTCGTCTTCGACATCGGAGACGAAGACATAAGAACCCTAAAGGTCAAATCAATGAGGATGAACTATGCGTTCACCTCATTGATTATAATGCCAAAGGTTGAAATAGAGGCTGAAGCAAGGCCAGGGCCGCATCGTACGTTAAGGTCTTCTAAATATGAGTAGACGCATCGGAACTTGTTGCCCACCTAGAGGAGTTTCTGATGACACTGGAAGTGAAAGCGAGGGAGATGGAGTTGATTTTTCTTCCGAAGAAGAGGAGGCAACCCTAGAATACGATATGTATCTCGAGTCGAGATATTTGCAGGATGGCCGACTGTAAGAATGATTATATTTTCTATACAAATTTAATACGTTTTATTTTACAAAACACTCGGTTTTTAAACGCACGAAATATTTGTCTCCCAAATCAGTTACAGCCTATGTTTATGTTAACACTATTAAGATACGATCGGATTACGAATATGGTAACTAAGAGTAAAATATCAAGCAAGCATAGAATACAGATCATTTTAAATTTGGGTTAGTTGCTTTGCGGAACAAAATTAAAGTTCGTTCCAATAATAATAAACTAGTGAATAATTTTTGTGAGTATCTGTTTGCTAAATAGGGTGAGTTTTTCTCACTCAGTTCTATCAATTAGTTTTGTTTTAATTTGTAATCAAGTTATTTTGCCAAATTATATTACCCAATTATTATCTATCAACCTTTTATAGTTAATTTGTCAATTCTGACGTAAAGATATTTTGTCAAGTATTGAGAAAACCTTATATCCTAAATTAACGGGGTTATATTAAATAATTAAAACTTATTTGACTATTTACTTATATTTTGTTTTCCTCTACGAGGTGTAATCAAAAGTAAAATGAGTTAGATTGTCTGTTCTGGCATAGTACATTGCGGTACGTGTATGCGTTTATTACTGTGGTCAGTTTTTCAGAGTCGTCGCACCATGGTTGGTGACATTTCGGTCAGTGTGCTAGTAATGGCTTAATTTATATATCGATCGATAGTTTGGGCATTGCGGTTAGTACCAACAGAATTGAGAATATAACTGTTTGTCAATTATGGAAGTTGTGTCAATTATATTTTTTTTATAATCAATATTTTGACATAAAGAGTCAAAGAGTTGTTAATTAAAAGGATACTAAGTATTTTGTTTACGAATATCACCTTTTCATAACTTTCCTTAATATAAACTGCTTTGGTAAACTTAATTGCTCATAATGGGTGATTCATTAAGAGGTACTTTTTTCAACAACAACAAAAAAATAACAAAATTCTATTTTATGGTGCAATCTTTATTATTATACAAAAAAACTATTTCTGAAATTAATTTTTTAAATATTATTTCTTTCAAATGTTGACCTTGACTTCGGTTGAGATGGTCCATTCTGAAGTTCCAATTTTAGATGACACGTTCAAGCATTTCGAGTGGGATTTGGCGAATGACCCGAGTAATGTTGGCTCCCAATTCCTCAATCGTATTCGGCTTATCCATATAGACTTTGGACTTCACGTAGCCCCAAAGGAAAAAGTCTAGAGGTGTGATGTCACATTATCTAGAAGGCCAATTCACTGGTCCAAATCGTGAAATTAACTGTTCATCGAATTGTTCTCGCAATAAAGCCATGGTATGGCAAGTGGCGCGATCTTGTTGGAACCAAATGTCATCGAGATTACGGGCTTCAATTTCAGGCAGCAAATAGTCCGTTATCTTGGCGCGATAACGGGCGCCATTCACAGTTACGTTCCTGCCGGCTTCATTTTTAAGAAAATATGGACCGATGATTCCACCAGCCCATAGACCACACCAAACCAGCCGGCTTCAATTCTTGAACGAGTTGAATTTTGTATGCTTTCAAACCAAGATCCTTACGTAAAATACGCAAAGTTGTTGCATACGACAAGCCAAGCTGTTGAGATCGGCGCCGAATTGATTCATTATGGTCATCACGTACACTTTCGGTTACCGCCTCAATATTTTCTGCACTTCGTGTTGTATGCGGTCTATTTGGTCGCGTATTATCCAATAATGAAAATTGGGTTTCAAACTTTTCGGCGGTGTAGCGAATTGTGCGTTCGGTGGGCGCGAAATACACTCCTGGCAGAACGCTGATTGTCGTAGTACAGCTGAATTATTTGTAGACGTTGTGCCGGGCTAAGTCTTTCCATGATGAAATGTCAGACAGCAGACAGTACTGAATCAAAATACCACGACAGTTCACTCTACTCATGCGTTATGTGTCTTATAGCATCTTCGAATCTAGTGCAGGCTTACACTGAGTGCATACGAAAGGTGGGAGATATGTCAATACCAGTTACTTTTCAATCTGAAATGTAACCGGTATCGATATATCGCTCATCTTTTATGTGCACTACACGCAGGCAGGGCAGTGGAATCGAAGACGCTATTAAACTCGCTACCGAAAAAAGTACCTCTAAATGAATCACCCGTTACTTGTTTTTCTTTTATTTCAGGTACGCCATCTCATACGTGCATTATCTATTTTATTTTACTATTATTTTATTTACGTTTTTAATCATTTAATACTTATTTCTAACTAATTTTATTTTGTTCTAAATTTTACCTTTCAATTTAAAGTTATTAAATCGTTTATTGAATTAATTGCTAGTTTTTCCTGACATTGATTAAATAACTAAATAACAAATATCTTTCTATTAAAAGTAAATGGATAATATTCCATAAAATTATATTCGTTTTAAACATATAAATCCAGTATACACGATTATCCTTTGACATATGAACAAAGGAACCGAAAATACAATTCCGAGAAATTTCTAAAAAGCCTACGCTGAGGATTAACGTTAAAAAAACACAGACCAAATGTTTTTATCTATATTTCCATTTAGGTATTTGATATATTTGACAAAAAAGAGTTCCGAACAACTAAAAGAATAAAAAATAGAATGAAATGCAAGCTGGAAACAAGCCGGCGGATGTTAAAGCGGGTTGTGTATATACATAATATCGTAAATATTTGTTTCTCATATATATTATTCATTTGATCTCGAAGTGTTAAAAATAAACCTAATAAACCGTGTTTATTTATTCTCGAAATAAGTTTAAAACATTAACAAACGGCCGTAATTTATTTTATACTAGCACTCGCTGTAATTATAGTTTTTACAATTCCAAATGAAAAATAAACATTTTCGATAATATAAAATTGGATAATTTTAATTACCCAATTTCCCAAAAGAATTTTCTTTCGTAAACAAAAGTCGATTGTTTACATTGTTCGATTTATTTATAAAATTTATTAATATATATTTACAACGAACCGAATTTATGGTTTTCAGGTGGTAAAATTTATTAATTTTCAAACATTGTGTTATTATTTGAAGACTGTGTTGTAAGATTTAAACCAGGTGAAATATTAATGCACCAAAGTAAATCGCTAAATATGCATTGTAGAAAAAAGCGTAACCAAGCAAATCAATAAAAATGGACAACCTAAATGTTATTTATTTTCATCATCTTCTTCTGCTTCTTGTTTTTTTTTTGGAGTGTGTCCATGAGGCAATTTACCCAGCTAACTCTTGAGGGACTGTTTTAAGTCTTGCCCGAGGCAATTAAACAATTCCAAATATCACTTTATTTAAATTAAGGTCGCATTCGGAAACTTTTTTCTTCATTCTTCTTTTAAGAGTTTGGTAATTAGTAAAGGTAAACAATACAACAAAGGAATTAACTATTCTTGTTTAGGGATAGCAGCAAAGCATTACACACACCAAGAAATGCTACCAACTCAGGACTAAAAAGAAAGAAAATTAGGGTGATTTGGTTTTATAGGTTAATTTTACAAATATTGAGGAATTTCATTATTAATTTTAAACTATCCTCATTGTGTGGTCAGCCTTAGTTTCTCAAGTGTACAATTTAAGGAGCTCTGGGACATATGTGTATCTGGGTATGTTAAAAACTTACATTACATTACATAAAAGTTTAAAACAAAAAAGTAGCGAATACACAGAACACGAGGCTAATAACCGTAGCAGTTGATGCCGATGACACAAAAAAAAATTAAACTAAAGGATACCATATACTGTTAAACCGTTTAGTATATTTTTAAAATGAGCGACATGCAGAAAATGTTGGAAGAATTACAAAATATTAAAATAGAACTAAAAAACAGTATACAGGCTAGTGAAGCAAATATTCTTCTGAAACTAGAGGACTCAAAAGTTAGAATTAAAGAGTTGGAAGAAGAAAATAGTATTTTAAAAGAACGAGTTGAAGAATTGGAAAGAAAGGGAAAATCAAATAATATAATAATTATTTTTTTTGGCTGGAACAAAACTTGCCCGGAGTTAACTTGTAAGATTTTATCAAGAAATAAAAAATCTAATAGGAGTGAATTTACAATAATTTTTATACACTTGGCAAAAGTAATAATAATCCCGTAAAAATTTAATTGGTTTATTTTATGAAAAAACGAGAAAACAAGAAAACAGCAAAAAACTTAAGGGGACCAGTCTATCTATTGCACACAACTTAACTTTCAAACAACGCAAAGAAAATCAAATACTAAGAAAACACTTATTCATAGAGAGACAATACAATAAACACTGTTACATTAAGGGAAATAAACTCATGATCGACTATAAACCGTTCAGTATTGAAGATTTGATCCAATCCGAAGTCAGAAGCGTAACAAAAGCTGCAAGCGAACCATCATCACTTTCCATAGCCCGACCTTTAGTCCCCATAGCAGGAGAGCATACTGAAGATAGCGCAATACCTCAAAATTTAAATACCACCAAACAACTGAAACAGGAAGCTGCCAAGAATAAAATAACTCAAAGAAATAAAAATTACCAGAGCAAGAAAAAACTCAGCTACTTTAAAAAAAATTGTTCTTTTGCTTTGATTAATAGAAAGATTAGTTTAATAGGTAATAGTCAATTGTAAATTTTTAAATTCCAAAAAAAAGTTTTTTCCACAATCTCGCAAAACAGTATGGATCCCAATATTAGAGAATACCAAAATGATGCTATAATGGCAACTTACATTGATCATAGTAAAATTAAAAAAATGTGAATATTTTAATAACAATATTTTTAATGACTCATTCAAAATCATTCATTTTAACATAAGAAGCTTGCCAAAGTATTTTGATTAATTATTTATATTTCTATCGCAGTTTAACTTTGAATATGATGTAATAGTTTTATCCGAAACTTTTCAATTGTTTAATTCATCCCTCACCTTTTGTTTAAAAGGATATGACTTACTTTACAATGAAAGTGACCTAAATAGAAATAATGAACTAGTTGTATACATAAAATCAAAACTAAACTATAATTATAATTATGAGACTTATATTGTTGGTGATTCTAAGATAATAAAGGTGTCGATTTCTGAAAACAACAAACACATAAATTTAACAGCAATATATAACTCTCCGAAAAGTTGTCCCAAACAGTTTAACTTTGAATTATTAAATTATTTAAAAAAATATAAAACAGATAATTGTCATATTATTACAGGCGATATAAATATTAACCTATTAGATGAATCAGAACATATAAAAGAGTACAAAAACATTTTAAATTCTTATGGCTACATTTCTTACATTAATCAGCAGTAGTGTTACCAATATTAAATCATATATTTTTGAAAGTGACATTACAGATCACTTTCCAATTGCAGTAGCCTTTACCTCAAAATCCAAAGAAAATAACGAGAAATCAACATTATAAAAGTTTCATAAATCATAAAAACTTAAAAAAGGACTTAAGAAACGAAAGCTGGTTAACTATATGTCAATCAGATGATGTTCATTTGGTCACTGAAACATTTATTAAAGAAATACAAAAATATATGCAACAGAACACAACAACTGTAAAATTGAAGAACAATGAAGGTAAAATAAGAAAACACTGGATTACAACAGGTATATTAAAATCTATCAACTGCAAGAATGAAATATTTTCACAAATAAAACAAGACCCAAATAATTTAGCACTTAAATCTATTTACAATAATTATAAAAATAAAATAACAAATCTAGTCAAAATATCTAAAAAAAATTATATTAATACAATAATAAATAAAAACACAAGATCATCAGCTTGTTTATGGAAGTGTGTTAATACATTATGCGACAAAGAAATACCTAAAACAAAAATTGAAACTGTACAAGGGGAGACCGGGGAAAAAATAACAGATCCATCGAAAATTACAAATAACTTTAATAACTACTATTGTGACCTTGGTGAAAAATACGCAAATTAAATCAAAGTTCTTCAAAATTATAGGGAAGATATAAACAGAGTGGAAAGTACTATATATCTTGTGGATACCAATGAGAATGAAGTAAAACAAATTATTAAAGATTTAAAATCAAACAAATCTCCAGGTTGGGATAGTATTAGGGCAGAAACAATAAAAGAAATAAATGAAGACATTGGTCGACCACTTACCCATCTCATTAATCAAAGTTTTTGGGAACAGGAATATCCAAACTGTTTAAAAATAGGTAAAATAAAACCTCTTTTTAAGAATGGAGACAAAAGCAGAATATAAAATTATAGACCTGTCTCTTTACTCTCTGTGTTTTCCAAAATGTATGAAAAAATTATTAAATTGAGACTACTAAAGTTCCTCAATAGGCATGAAGTGTTATCACCACATCAATATGGTTTTAGGCAGGAAAAATCCACGGAAGATGCAATACATGCACTTACATCTATTATTAATAAAGCAATTGACTCCAACACGCCAACTCTTTGCGTATTTCTTGACCTCTCAAAAGCCTTTGACACGGTGTGCCATAAAATATTGTTAAACTGAAGCAATTTGGGATTAGGAGAATTGCGTATAATTTGTTGGAAAGTTAAATGACTAACAGAGTGCAATATGTAAGTATTACGATTAAGTTAGCTAGATCTCCAGAGATACCAACTTTTAGTAGAATAGAGTAAAATAGTTTCAACGGGATCGGGGGTAGGGGGATCCTCCAAGTCCCCCATTATTAGGTTTGGGGGAACCTGATTAATAGTTAAACTAAACTTTGAAAGGATTTAGACAAGAAGGAATTAGATAGGTAATAAAAAAGAACAAAGGATATATTAGTAATACCATTGTAAATATAAAACCCTTCAAAAATTATCAGCCGGCGAACAATGTTTACACTTCGAGAGCCAAAAACCCTATCATTTATTTTCATCTAACTTTTTAACAAATCTATAATGTGTAACCATTTCATAGTTATGTACCAGCTTTTTAAAAAATATATTCAGATCATCGGAAAGGTATATCACTGAGGATTATTGACAGGACTTTTTATCTACATCAAACATGACAAACGAGTGTACTGGCCCTGTACCGTATTACGTATACATCCAACTGCATTTTTATGAAATATTTTGTATCATCGTAAGCATTAATTTCCAGGCATTCATATTTTTTTTGTGTCACTCTCTCGATTTATATCACATGGCTATCAGAATTTATGAGATGGTGCTTTTTTCTTTTTTCGCTTTTTTTATCTCGTATTGCAGGATTTTTTAACGCAGGCAAAGCATTTTGCGACTCATTTTACAATATTTACAACGGATTTTTTTCGATAAATATTTCGTTACTGTTGATGGCAACTTATAAATAATAATAATTTTGCAACGGTTTCTTCTGGTTATTGTCCACAGAAAGGTAACGTAGCCGTAAGAGCTTTGTTAAACTAGCTTTTCCACAGGAAAAGTGGTTTCAAGCCAATTTTGGTCGAACCCTCTGATCAGATTCGGGCGTATATCTGTCTGACCGTGAACATTTCAAATCAAACGAAATGGAACACAAAACCGATGTCGTATAGCTTCGATGACGGTCACGTAGGGAGAGTTTAATAATCCGGCTGTACCGGGAACTTAATTTTATTACATTAGAGCCGGCTGCAGTGGCTACACCTCCGTCGGCCGATCGATATCCTACATAATTAACAATGTGTTATCGACCTGCGGGTCCCCTGGGGCCATCAGACGACCCAGACGTCCCCCTTGGACTCCTGCACTCCTTCGATTGCTCCTGCTGCTGCTGATTGACCGCTTTCTGTCGTTTGTCAACAAAACGCAATCGGATCACCGAGAGTTACACGCGCTTATGATTTTGAGGTTAGAGCATGACAGATAAACGGAGCTTATGAAAATGAATCCGAAATGTATGACTCCCGAGGAAATATAATATTTTTCACAGGTTGTGTATGAGTTATGACCAAGATTTTCTTTTATTACTTTTACAATTTTATTTAATAATGTAATTAGTTTAAATAATGGATTATATGTTTCAAATTTCTAGATAAAAGAAATATGAGACATGAATCAGAAAAAAGGAGCTATCGCCTTTGTTCTAAATAGACAAAATATGTGACTACTGAAAGAATGCGTAAGATACCAACATAAATATCATGTGTACAGTGTCCTGTCTATTTAACCCATTTCTCCTGTAGATAATAGGGATAAAGTATTTGAAGTCTTGAAATAATATGAAAAATCCATCTAAACCACTAACTATTTCTAATTATATTTCAATATTATTTTTTCATTTTTAATTAAATTTCAAGAAAAAGTTTCGTGTATTAACAAATTTGAAATATTAAAAATAAAATAGATTAAGGGCACACCTTTTCACTTCTGAGTAAAGTTACACGTAGGTTTTCTAGGCAGATTAGTGAATTATATTCTATATCCTAATCAGCGATTAGCAATTTGCATCTTTACTTAGAGGTGAAAAGACTGGGTCCTTATACTTCACAAATTATCATTTGTGATTTACTCATTGTGGTCGTGGAAAAATTATAATATGCTACTAGTGCAGAATACTTACTCCACACTATTCTGTGTGTGGTATATGTTGTTTTCTGAACTTATTGTACATTCTATTTTGACATAGAAATGGTTTTCACATCACTATTTTGCCGAATTGGACAGTTGTAGTAGTGTGAAGGAATTTGGATGTATCCTTCTTCATTGATCTAGAATGTAGGCCTGTTCATGCTTTTCAAATTATACAATATGTTGGCTTTGCCTCAATGACACCAGAAGAACGGTAAAGAATAAGCGATGCTATTTCTTAGACAGAGTTAAAAGAGTGCGCGCCAGCCAACTAGTGGTAGAGGTGTATCCATCGGTCCAATCACGGCAGGCACTCAGCCAATTTACGAGAGTCTGTTGTAACATTCAAAATTATATATTTATGTTGGTACTGCAACGTTTTTAGATCCTTTTTAATCTTAACGGTTGGTAAGACTGTAAGTCTGACAAGTCTGACAGTTTGTTATTAGTATCGAAGTATCGATCGGTTGATCTTTAGAAGTTGGCTGTTTGTAATTATTGTAATTTCAAGTAGTTAGTTAGTCATTATTATTTTTACTTTTTCACTCAGTGCTTTATTACTACCACTAGCTTCCACCACAGAGTCTCTCTTCATTATTTTTCTGTTAACCACTACTGCTTTCAACTGTAAAAAAGAGTATTTTATGTTAGATTACTGGAATACTCATTCTAATTTTATGTTTACCTTCCATCACTGCTGTTACATACCAAGCAGCCGTTTTCTTCGAATTTTAACTCTTTCCCAAGCTCTTTCAATATTTGTTTTGGGTTGCTTGCTATATTTAGCATATCGCTTTCTTTGCTGTATCTAATAATTTTGTAATATATTATCCAATAGACTTCCAGAACCACAATATTAATTGTCAAAAGAATTGGTAATTTTATTTATTTAGAAAACTTTCTTTTCAATGTGAATAATGTCGCTGCTATTTATATATTTGTTTACCCCAATTCTTTTAATTTTTGTGGGATTCATTAAAAAGAAACAAATCTATTGTTACTACTAAAAAAATCACGATTTAGTTGTAATTGATAAAAAACTTGAATACCCTTTCTGTGGTCTCTTACGATATCTGTGT